GCAAGCGTTGCACCAAGGCGGCCTGCCAGCACTGCAGACGCAGGTGAACAGATGCGCATATGTGCGTCACCTACCAAGTAGGTGTAGGTCAGCACAGCTGACGGTTGCGTGCACGTTGTGCATGTAAAGCGTATTGTGCAGGTGCCAGGTTGTAGAGCACGTGATGCTCGTTCCGCAGGTCGATGCGTTCCAAAACCGCATGGGTCGGAATTCGCTCACTTGAGAAGTTTCGTTGACCAAATACTTGGTCGAACAAACGAGGCCGCTCACCCAACGTCGACGCCGTTCGGTCGACGCACGTAGTTCAGTGCCATGCCGACGACCAGCTTTGGCAACCGCCGAGGCTCGACGCCGTCCGACGACTTGACTTCATCGACCGGCGTCTGGTCATCGCCGCCCTGGTCGACGATTAAGCCTAGCCAGCTGCACACCCTGCGCACAGGTCAGCGATGTCAGGTTCGCCCAAGCGAGGGCGGCGCCTAATATTTTCAACAAAGATGGCAGCAGGAATTGCTCTTGCAGCAATTGCCACTACTTATGTTGAGCAAGCTACAGAGACACACCTGGTGTTGGTGCTGCAGGGTGACATTAGGATGCAACCCATGTGAGTTTTTGCAGTGCAATGTGTCTAGAAAATGAGCTTGTATGGTGAGCACACTGCATATACGCTGCCATACCTTTATGAGATATCAAGATCAAGTGGCAATTGATGTGACAAGAGGCTTTACACATACTACCGTACAGGTGATTGCAGGTCTGCAGTTGTACCACTAGCCTGCAATGCGCTCGAATATCGCCACAATGACATTTACACCACTCCCCTGTGCTGGGCGTGATCCCACACTCAGTTGCATCGCACTCCTATGTGCCACACAACGTTAACTTGCACTGCATCCACCAGCCCCGCACGCAACAGTGCCACATTCACATGCACCACACACACCTGCCCCGCGTCACTCATCTCCCATCACCTCTCCCCACCACTTGTTGCTCTCCCGTTTCTGTCTGAGGACACCAAGACAATGTCGGCTTGCAGGACGTTCGTATTCAACTCACTTTTTGGGTGATTCAAAGTGCTCAACTTATCAGTCACCCTTTAAGGTGCCTACCACCCCAATGCAGGCTGAAGGGTGGCTAAATTCATGTGCTAATGGGTGAGGATAAGGGGAGGCTGCGAGAAGAGTAGAAGACGTACCATAGAGGGCGAGGTAATAAGTGGAGGATCCCAATATGGGAAGAGAAGGACGATGGGAGGCTAAACTTCCCACAATGAGAAGAAATAAGGTGAGGCAAAGGGGAGGCTGAACTGACCATGGTGAGTGGGTAACAGGTTTAGCTGAGGGGAAGCTAAATCCCCCCTCATGAGTGAGCAATGTGTGTGAGTGAGCAAGGTGTGTGTGAGTGAGCAAGGTGTGTATTTGAGCAAGATGTGTGATTGAGCAAGGTGTGTGAGTGACCAAAGTGTATGAGTGATCAAGGTGTGTGAGTGATCAAGGTGTGTGAATGAGCAAGGTGTGTGAGTGTGCAAGGTGTGTGAGTTTTCAAGGTGCGTGAGTTCTCAAGGTGTGCGAGTGTGCAAGGCGTGTTGTGAGCAAGGTGTGTGAGTTTTCAAGGTGCGTGAGCTCTCAAGGTGTGTGAGTGATCAAGGTGTGTAGTGATCAAGGTGTGTGAGTGATCAAGGTGTGTGAGTGATCAAGGTGTGTGAGTGATCAAGGTGTGTGAGGGAGAGTATATCGTGGGTGAGGATGGTTAATCTGTGTGCAAGGGGCAACATGTGTGCATTAGGTGCGAGTGAGGCCGGCTTGTGATTGAGCAAGGTGTGTAAGCCAGTGATGCAGTTAGTGATTTTGCGAGGGTCACAAGTGGGTATTTGAGTAGTTGGGAGTGAAGGGATTAAAAGGGAGCTGAGGGATAGGTGCAATGGTCGTTATGGTGGAGTGGAGAACGGAAAGATGGTAAGAGCCACTCAGGGTGAGTGAAAAATTGGGAATAAGTGAGTTTCGAGAGTTAGTGGCTGTAGCTTGTGCTATGAGAGAATGTGTGGCAGGAGCATGTGGCTCGAATCACTTACCAAACCACGGCGGAATATGCAAGGGTGGCTTCTCTTGTGGTGCAAGAATTCACTACGAAGGCATGGGTACAGATTGCATTGCAGCTTCGCTTTGGAGGGGTGGGAGGAGTAAGAGGGAATGAGAACAGAGAAATGGATATATGTGGAACGGAATGGAAAGGCGCTGATTAGAACTCAGCAAAGGGAGGAAAAGGGCAAAAAGGGAAACCGGCGATCGGCTTACTTGACGCAACAAGGGGGTAGGGAAGGAGGGGAGATAGAGGCAAGGGATGAGAGGAGAGGAGAGGAGAGGAGAGGAGAGGAGAGGAGAGGAGAGGAGAGGAGAGGAGAGGAGAGGAGAGGAGAGGAGAGGAGAGGAGAGGAGAGTTGAAGAGAGGAGAGGAGAGGAGAGGAGTGGAGAGGAGAGGGCCAGGAGAAAAGGAGCGAGAGGAACTTGTGTGAGTGAGTCGTGGAAGATGCGTGTGAGTGATATGTGACCAATGCGAAGGAGGTTGACAGGAGAGGGAGAGCGGCAATAGTATGAGAGCGATGGGAATGACTGCGGGCCGGAATGGAGAGCGGGACGAGATTTAGTGTGGGAAGGGATTGAGTGCGGGACAGAATTGAGTGCGGACGGGATTAGGTGTGGGAGGGATTGAGTGCGGGATGCGGAGAGCCACTCTACAACGGGATGTGGACTACGTTGAAGGACACGGGTTGTACGAGTGATCATTAGTGATAATCAGCGACCGCGACACGAAGTTCACGAGAAATTTCAGGAAAAACCTCTGGGAGCAGTTCAACACGCATCTACAGTCCAGTTCATTAAATCACCCCGAGACCGACGGAAAGACGGAACGAACGAATCAGACCATGGAGTAGATGATTTGCTCTACATACGGCGACCCCACGGCATGGAGCAGCAACTACAGTTGATCGAGTTCGCTTACAACAACGCCGCATCGGCTACGGAAAATTGTCAACGTTCTACATGAAATATGAACAGAACCCCACAACGCACATGACACCAAACCCACTCAACTCGACACGACGTGCTCAACAGGCCACCAAAATACTGCAAGCTGCCTGGACCCGCGCAGCAGAGGCAATGAAAAAGGCCAACACCATCGCAAAAAAATATGTTGATTGCCACAACCACCCCGTCACATACCGGACATGAGTCTTTGTACTACTCGCCGTACCAAAATTACGACCCCGATGTTGTGGCCCGTTCCAAATCAGCCAAACGATCACTCCCGTCACAGCCCATCTCCTACTACCTGCCGCCAGGTACATCAGCCCCTCGTTCTATGTCAGTCTCCTTCGACCATACGTCAGCCCACCGGCAAGTTGCCACTACAACTACCGCTATCAATGACTTGCCCGTCATCTGAGCCGATCATAGAAGTAGAGAAAGTCCTTAACCATTGGATCTGACACCCTTGAAGATATCAGAGGATTGGATTCCTTGTCCGCTGGAAAGATCGCACGCCAACTGAAGACAGTTGGGTGCTCCTAGGCAGCATGAAAAAACACCCTGTCCTCAAGGAGTATTCCAGAAGTTGGGAGTTCTGCGACGTTCAAGCATTAACTTAGTGGAGCTTCCTGAGGAGGGTTCCAAGATTCCGTGTTGCGCACCGATATAACGTTCAACACTTGACCGTTCTTCGCCGGTTACTGATGAACAATGTTCGCCACTTCGCATCTTTATTATTACCAAACCGCGCACTGCTGTTCTTGGCCGAGTCGGCGTACGCTTCGGGACTAGCCCGAGCCTAGCTGCGAGCATGGCACTAGCTAGCTTGGAAGGCCGTGTTACTGTTTGCATGTTTCGCTATAAATGTTCGTTTATGCCTTCGCTCACATGATTGATCCTTTGCCCCTTAGTACGATACAATCTTTGCTCGCTTCATGAATTGCACTCATAACAACAAGCCACTTTTCAGAGCAGTGATTGATAGGACATACGGCCGATGACAACATTAATGGTCCAAACCCATGCATAATATAACACCACTTTTTAGGTGGAATATATACCGTACTATCCAAGCCTGCATGGACACCTTGCTTGTTTGGTAGCAGGCACTATTGCTACGCTGTGTTGTTCCCTTGTGCAGCAAGCACGAAGTCAAGCCCCATATTTACTCTGCCGATCACACCGCGGCGCTATCTGATTCTCATAATGCAGGGCATGTGTGACAATGCCCCAAGTTTGGCTGGATCATACTGTAACGTAAACATATGGCCGAGAGCCATACCTGTAACATTCCAACGGCACCATGCTGTACAAACACTAGTTGCACCCTAAAACCCTAAACTTGGTATGAACAGATAACTCGGGACACAACCCAGCCCTTCTATTACTGGGACGACGTCGGCAAAAATCCAATGGTTCTAGTGGTCGTGTGAATATAGTAGGGCTGACCTGGCCTAGTTGAACGTCATTACCTGCCGAACCTTCTCCAACATGTCAAGACAATCTGTCAAGAGTTCGTGTGGGAGTGGCTTGTGAAGCAGCCTGAGTGAGCCAGTTTATGGAAGGGGTGTGAGCGTGTGGGTGTTGGAGGGGGAGCTACCGCTGCAGTGAAGGCCACTGCCGGAGGGAGTGGTGGAAGTGCGGTGGGAGTGAGTGCTATTACCCGAGCAAATGTTGGAAGTACATTTGGTTGAGGTGGACGGTCAGCAGGTCGGCGGCCAGCAGGTGGGCGGCCAGCCAAGAGTGAGTTTGTGTAAGGGGTGTGAGCGTGCGAGTGTTCGAACGACTACTGCTGCTGGAATGACTGCTACTGCTGGAGTGAGTGCTAGCGTCTGAGTGAGTGGTGGAAGTGCGGTGGGGTTGAGTAGCTACCATCCCAGTGATTGCTACTGCCCATGGGAGCGGTGGAAGTGCATGTGGGAGAGGTGGGCGGCGAGCAGGTGGGTGCTGAAGGAATGAGTGTTGGACTGAGTGCTAGCGTCGGAGGGAGCGGTGGAAGTGCATGTGGGAGAGGTGGGCGGCGAGCAGGTGGGCATCCACTGGCTTCTGCAGCACACCGTCAAACCCCCCCTCTGCACACCTCTGCACCACTCCGCGATCCACGTCGGCTGTCAGAGCCACTATGGGCACCCGCAGAGAGACAGGCCACCCAGCAGGGGCAGCAGCAGGGTTTGAAGCTTCTAGGGGAGGGACGGGCAGAGCAGAAGGGGTTTGATGATGCCTCTGCTGCTGCAACTGCTGTGCTCGTGAAATGGCTTCAAACTCCACTCTCCTCTCGAGGTCCCGTATGGCTGCTGCTGTTGCGAAGCTGGCAAGGCAAGGAGGCATGGACCGGAAGGGAGGAACGGAGCAGGTTTGCATTACGTCAAGTGAAGAAGGATTAGGTTTGCAATGAAGCAGGTTTCACAGGAAAAAAACGTTCCCCACTCAGGTTCACCACTCAGGTTCACCACTCAGGTTCACCACTCAGGTTCAGGACTCAGGTTCAGGACTCAGGTTCGGGACTCAGGTTCGGGACTCAGGTTCGGGACTCAGGTTCGGGAATCATCCACATCGATGGCTCACTCACCCACATTCACGAGGCAACCATTCCATGCTCACCGCTCACCACCGCTCATGACTACTCACCCGTCCATGCCCGGCATCTGCAGGTCCATGAGAACCAAGTCGAACGCATGCTGCAGGGACACATCCTCCTGCTGCTCTCTCCCCTCCTGCTGCTCTCTCCCCTCCTGCTGCTCTCTCCCCTCCTGCTGCTCTCTCCCCTCCTGCTGCTCTCTTGCCTCCTGCTTCCCACTCGCCCCCTCCTCCCCTCTCCCCTCCTCCTGACCTCCACCTCCCTCCACCCCAGCAGCGATCAACTCTATCGCCTGCTCCCCACGGGAGGCGGTGGTGACTCGGGCGCCCCAGTTGGCGAGGGAGCGGCGGGCCACGAGGAGATTTACAGGCGTGTCGTCAACCACTAGCACTCGCAGCCCGCCCACCCACGCCCGCGTCACCGCCTCATCTGCCGCCGCCGTTCGCAGGCCGGTAGCTGTGGCAGTGGTTTCGGCTGCTGCTGAAGACGAGTATCGCCGAAGCCTTCTGCTTGCTCTCCCATTTGAAGCACTCTGTACTTCTCTTCCCTCGAAAACTGCTGAGCCTTCTCCTGCACTGCCCACCCTCGCCAGTGCCACTAGTGATCGCTCATGTTGCTGCTGTGGCTGCTGCTGCGGTTTCTGTGGCTGCAACTGCTGCTGCTGGTTCAGGTTATCTTGGACCACCTGGAAATTCTCCTGGCAGTGCTGCGGAAGCAGATTCGTCTCTTCACACTGCTCCATTGGTTCCGAACTGTGATTCTGCGTACCGCTGCCGACACCGGAACGAATTCCGAAGCCTGTTTCCTGCCAACAAGCACTGCTGGAACCACCTGGGGAATCACCTGACTCTGTTTCCTGACTCTGCATCTCTTGCGATTCCAACACGACAAGTTCCTCATCTGAGCAGTGTTCTTGTAGCGAGCAGTGTTCTTGTAGTGAGGGAATGGCCACGGGAACGGAGAACGCCACAGTGGAGCCACAGCCATGCTGGGAATCAAAGGCAATATCTCCCTTCATTAGAGTCACCTGCGCGTTGCAAGAAAAAAAAAGTGTTGTTATCAGTCACATACATCCAAAAGATCAGTCATTCTCATGCCGCCATCGCACAGTGTATGAGCATGATTCCTTATGCGAGATGTTCAGTGCTGCAAATCCCTTAGTCCAAGCTACAGTCTTGAATGCTCTAATGCTGCTATGATGCTTGCGTGCTGATGTCATTGCTCAGACCACTTATGTCACTGTTCAATGTTACGCTATGTGTGTGTGTGCGCGCGCATGAGCACTCACCATCTGCTGCATGAGCACGAGCCCAAGTGATGCTCCTGGTCCACTCCCTACCTCATGCAACTCCTGAATGGTGAGGGTGCCATGCCATACCATGCCATACCATGCCATACCATGCCATGCCATGCCATACCATGCCATGCCATGCCATGCAAAGGGGTTAAAGGGAGGATGAGATCCATGTTGGGATGGGATGGGACAGGTTGACATGATGGCATGGGGTGGCGTGGGATGGTGTTAGAGCCTCCCCCCTGCCCTAGGGTTGGAGCAGAGACAGTGGCAGGCCGCATTTCAAATCTCAGCACGACACCACCGGCAACGTTACAGCTAATAACAACTCACGACCAACGCTAATAACAACTCACCACGAGTTTTGAGGCGCCTAAAAAATCTCAGCACGACACCACCAGCAACGTTAAAGCTAATAACAACTCACCACGAGGGAGGAGTGCGAAGGCTGCCAGTCCCCTGAGGAGTTCAAGCAGAGAGGGAGACGTGAATTTAGAAGTGTTTTGAGACGTCTCAAAACACTTATAATTTCACGTGACTCCAAGCAGAGGGGGTGGCAAGCCTTGTCTATGCAGGACAGGTGGGCTGCGGAGGCCTTACTTCCACCCTCATTGCAAGCGACAAGTGTGAAGCCATTCATTCACCCTCATTGCAAGCGACAAGTGTGAAGCCATTCATTCACCCTCATTGCAAGCGACAAGTGTGAAGCCATTCATTCACCCTCATTGCAAGCGACAAGTGTGAAGCCATTCATTCACCCTCATTGCAAGCGACAAGTGTGAAGCCATTCATTCACCCTCATTGCAAGCGACAAGTGTGAAGCCATTCATTCACCCTCATTGCAAGCGACAAGTGTGAAGCCATTCATTCACCCTCATTGCAAGCGACAAGTGTGAAGCCATTCATTCACCCTCATTGCAAGCGACAAGTGTGAAGCCATTCATTCACCCTCATTGCAAGCGACAAGTGTGAAGCCATTCATTCACCCTCATTGCAAGCGACAAGTGTGAAGCCATTCATTCACCCTCATTGCAAGCGACAAGTGTGAAGCCATTCATTCACCCTCATTGCAAGCGACAAGTGTGAAGCCATTCATTCACCCTCATTGCAAGCGACAAGTGTGAAGCCATTCATTCACCCTCATTGCAAGCGACAAGTGTGAAGCCATTCATTCACCCTCATTGCAAGCGACAAGTGTGAAGCCATTCATTCACCCTCATTGCAAGCGACAAGTGTGAAGCCATTCATTCACCCTCATTGCAAGCGACAAGTGTGAAGCCATTCATTCACCCTCATTGCAAGCGACAAGTGTGAAGCCATTCATTCACCCTCATTGCAAGCGACAAGTGTGAAGCCATTCATTCACCCTCATTGCAAGCGACAAGTGTGAAGCCATTCATTCACCCTCATTGCAAGCGACAAGTGTGAAGCCATTCATTCACCCTCATTGCAAGCGACAAGTGTGAAGCCATTCATTCACCCTCATTGCAAGCGACAAGTGTGAAGCCATTCATTCACCCTCATTGCAAGCGACAAGTGTGAAGCCATTCATTCACCCTCATTGCAAGCGACAAGTGTGAAGCCTCCCAGTTGCTGTGAACTCCAAGCAGAGAGGGTGGCAGGGCTTGTCAATGCAGGGAATGTGGGCTGCGGAGGCTGCAGATGCCTTGTTACTTCCATCAACTTGAAGCCATTCATTCACCCTCATTGCAAGCGCTAAGTTTGAAGTAAGGCCTCCGCAGAGGCCTCCCTCAACTCCGCAAAGTATGAAGCCTCCATCTTTCTTTTGATTTGACTCATTACAAGCTAAAAGTGTGAAGCCTCCATCTTTCTTTTGATTTGACTCATTACAAGCTAAAAGTGTGAAGCCTCCATCTTTCTTTTGATTTGACTCATTACAAGCTAAAAGTGTGAAGCCTCCCTCATTCACCCAGTTGCTGTGGACTCCAAGCAGATGGAAATCACTTTTGAGGATTCTCAAAAAAGGGTGGCAGGCCGCATTTCGAATCCCTCATCCCACATGCGAAGCCAAAAGTAGCCATTCGTTCCCACTCACTTCAAGAAACAAGTGCGAAGCCTCCCTGGTGCCTTGAGCTCCGAGCAGAGACGGTGGCAGGCCGCACCCTGAATCTCGGCACGACAGCACCAGCAATGTGAGAGCTAACAACAACCCACCGTGACACGAGAGCTGACAACAACTTACCGCAAGCGAGAAGTGCGAAGCCTCTCTGGTGCCTTGAGCTCCGAGCAGAGACGGTGGCAGGCCGCACCCTGAATCCCGGCACGACAGCACCAGCACACCCAACCACTGCCCATTCTCCCACTCAGGATTCCTGGCATTCCCCCTCCCCTCCCTCGATCCACGTAGTGTGTTGCTCGCTGCACTTGCTGCTGCTGCTGCTGCTGCTGCAGCTGCTGCTGGAAGTGCCCGTGTTGTGGTGACATGTTTCAGCCAGCGAAAGGTAGAGAGAATCCAGGCAGTCGCCGAGCTGGTGAGAGCAGGCGTGGGTGCGTGAGGGGTGGCGGTGGAGAGACCTGGAGGAGAGGAGCAAGGCGGGTGCGAAGGGTGGGGGGGAGAGGGCGTGGGGAACGCACGGGAATGAGGAAGACCAGGCAGCATCCAGCTGGTGAGAGTGGAAGTGGGTGCCTGAGGGGTGGCGGTGAAAAGGCCTGGATGGAGGAGCAAGGCGGGTGCGAAGGGTGGGGGGGGAAGAGGGAATGAGTAACGGCGTAACAGAGTGAGCGAAGTTTATTCATGTAACAAGCTCTCAACTGTGAATGTAAATGCTCACGCAGTTGCTTACCCTGGCAATGAAGGGCGTCTTGCAAACTTGTCCCTAGTGGCACCAGCGACACCCGAACTGTCACATGGCCTTGATCCGTGAACTTCACTGCGTTGTCTGAAAGGAAACCAAGGTGGTGTGGTGGTGTGCAGTAAAGTTGAGCACTAGAGCACAAACATGTAAAATTGAGCAACGACACCTGGCACCAGCGACACCCGGACTGTCACACGGCCTTGCTCTTTAAATTTCACTGCGTTATCTGAAAGGAAACCAAGGTGGTGGAGTGTGGTGAAATCATACATCATGTGAAATTGAGCACAAGAGCACGAACACACAACCACAGCTAGTGTCGATTGAGGAATGCAAGTTGGCCCTCAATCGATGGATAGGCAGTCAGCGCATGAGCAGTGGGATGGAAAGGCCCAGCTCAGACTGGCCATTTTGATGGTGTGCCGTGCCGGGTTGGCTTCAACTCCGCTCCGCCACCATTGATGCTACATACAGAGGGCCCCACGTAACCTACTGTGCACATGGTACTCCTTCCCTCAATCCCATAGCCTAATAGGTGTTGTAGCTCTCATGATATCCTAGTGTTGCCAATGTTGAATCGCTGTTGCGCTATCGCTATGAGAAAATCAACAGGCATGTTGTACAGCATGTTGTGCAGCATGTTGTGCAGCATGTTGTACAGCATGTTGTACAGCATGTTGTGCAGCATGTTGTACAGCATGTTGTGCAGCATGTTGTACAGCATGTTGTGCAGCATGTTGTGCAGCATGTTGTGCAGCATGTTGTGCAGCATGTTGTGCAGCATGTTGTGCAGCATGTTGTGCAGCATGTTGTGCAGCATGTTGTGCAGCATGTTGTGCTCTCTCATGATCATAGTGTTGCCAATGTTGAATCGCTGCTGTGCCATTGCTATGAGAGCATCAACAAGCTGAGAATGACCACCGTCCTTGTCATATTTGATGCTCGTGCCAAAAACGCGTAGCTCGTCAATCCCAACATGGTCCAGCTCAGGTCTTGAGTCGGTTCGACATGGACCAGTTCGGATTCAGTTTGACCATTTGACCAGTTCGACCATTTGACCAGTTTGACCATTTGACCAGTTCGAGGCAATTCGAGCCGAACTGGTTCGGATTCGACACGTGCTCATGCCTTTCACCACGTACCTGTGATTTCTTTCAGAACTTTAGAGAGGTGCATCGAGTCGGCGATAATGTAAGTGGGAACGTCGTCGTCAACACTGTCGCAAACTGAAGCGGAAGGAGATACGAGTGGGGTAAAGGAAGCAGAAAGTATGTGTGGGGTAAGCATCAAGGAAGATAATATTTCAAGTATTTACTTAGAGGGAAAATGCTCAACAATCTACAAGCATCACAAGGAGAACAAGTATATGATCAACATGATCAATATGTAACTAGATCTAGGCATATCAAAACCCCATCTCTTGATGAACTCTTTTGTGCACTCACCTCACACTCGATGCCTTTGGAGCGTGCCATCTCCGCTTGTTGCTTCTACCCTCTGACCAGATGCTGTGCACCCCCCACAACGGGCCACTCACACTCGATTCCTTTGGAGCGTGACATCTCCGCTTGTCGGTCCAAGGCAGCATGCAGCCACTGGCATGGCACACATCAATCACCGGCAACCAAAGCTTGCGTTTGGAAAGAAATCTCAAAGAGCCACTCACACTCGATTCCTTTGGAGCGTGCTGCCTCCACGTGCCGGTCCAAGGCGGCATGCAGCCACTCCCTCACGTCAACCACCATCTCATCCCCCACCGCCCTGCCTGCCTCTCACCAGACGCTGTGCACCCCCCACAATGAGGCACTCACACTTCATCCCTTTGGAGAGTGCTGCCTCCGCGTGCCGGTCCAAGGCGGCATGCAGCCACTGGCGCACATCAGTCACCGCCTCATCCACCACCGCCTTTCCCGCCTCCAGCCTCGCCACATGCGCTGCACCCCCCTTCATCAAACCAGCGACTCACATTCAATCCCTTTCGAGCGTGCCTCCTCTGCGTGCCTGTGCAACGCGCCATGCAGCCACTGGCGCACATCGGTCACCGCCTCATCCACCACCGCCCTTCCTGCCTCCAGCTTCGCCAGATCCAACACGCGGTTGACCAGATGCAGCGTATCCGTCGCACACCCCCGCGCGATGAGCAGGTCTGATAGGTCAGGGGGTTGGAGCGCCATGTCTGCCAAAGCATCGAGCATGCCTGGTGGGGGAGTGGGGGAGAGGGAGGGGTGCATGAAGGACGGTGCGTAGCATCTGCCAAAGCATCGAGCATGCCTAGTGGGAGAGAGGGATGATGGAAGAAGGGAGCATGGTGCCAAGAGAACGTGGTATGGACAAGTTGGGTCTGATAGGTCAAGGGGTTGGAGAGTCATGTCCGCTAGAGCATGGAGCATGCCTGTTGGGAGAGAGAGGTGTAGGAAAAAAGTGTATCATATCACGACGAAGGGTTAGCAATCGCGAAGGGTTATGTCCTGAGCTCATAAGACAAGCAAGCCCTCGTCAGCTGCGGTGTAACCAATGAGACATGCAAGCCACGAACGTGCTCTTTGACGCCTCTGCTCCCTCCAAATCTTCTTCACGCGCCTAAAAGGCCAGACCCGGTAATTCGTGAACACCGTACGTACCGATGATCCCAGTCATCGGTGTCCTCAGCTCGTGAGACATGCACGCCACGAACATGCTCTTTGACGCCTCAGCGTCCTCTGCTTCCTTCCTCAGCCTGTCTGCCTCTGCCATGTGCTGCTGCGTCTGGAAGAACTGCGCTCGCTGGATCCATGCCGCCAGCAGCACGAGCAGCACGAGGAGGAGGGCGAAGAGGGCGATGAGGATGGGGATGCCCCACGATTGCCACGCGTTGGGAGGCTGCGTGTACCTGGATGGGGGGGGGGATAACAGGAAGGTCGTTTGTGTACAATATTCACAAGGCAGGGGCACAGGCGGAGGGTGAAGAGGGCGATGAGGATGGGGATGCCCCACGATTGTCACGTGCTGGGAGGCCGCGTGCCTGGATGGGGGAATAACAGGTTATATATATATACAATACATATATACATAATTTACTATGTATGTATATAGTAAAAGGGAGATGAGGATTAGGATGCCAAAGAAATACAATATGCGGGGGGGCTGTGTGTACCTGGGTGGGAGAACAGTAGCAAGGTTGTATAGATCTACTATGCAAGTGCATAGGTAAATAATGCAAGGATAATTAGATCTAAAGGGTCTAATAATGCCTGCGTGTTAGCACTATCACTAACGTGCAAGAGTGAAGGAGCAAAAAGAAAACAGGAAGGAGCGGCCAGAAAGCTCATCTACACCAACCCTCATAGCATACTTACGCACGCCTGCTCCCAGCTCATCCAAATGCTTTAGAGTCAACCCAACCATCATATTGAGCTTATTGAGCGAAATCAGATTGAGCTTACTAAAAAAATGACTCACATGCACCAACCATCATATGTGCACACGCCAGCTCCCAGCTTATCCAAATGCTTTTGAGTCAACCCAAAAGGGTTCAGATTGAGCCCGCTTAAAATTACTCACCTACACCAACCTTCATACTTGCGCTCGACTGCTCCCAGCTTATCCAAATGCTTTTGACTCAATTCAAAAGGGTTCAGATTAAGCTTACTTAAAAAATTGGCTCACCTGCACCAACCCTCATACTTGCGCACGCCTGCTCACAGCTCTTCTAAATGCTTTTGAGTCAATCCAACTTAAAAAGGAATTCAGATCGAGCCTACTTAGAAAATGACTCACCTGCACCAACCCTCATACTTGCGTACGCCTGCTCCCAGCTCTTCTAGAGGCACTACAGCCGGTCCCTCCCAGGGGCGAGTTTCGGACAGTGGAGAGGGAAGCATGTTGGGGCGAGGGTCGTTGGGTCGGAAGTAGACGTGCGGTGGGACTGGAGAGACGATGGCGAAGAGAGACGACGGGTCTGTAACATCGTACATCTCGAACGATTTTGACGAGTCTAGATGGAAGGGAAGGGAAGAGGGCGGGGGAAAGGAGAAGGGGGAGAGTGGAAGGAGAAGACATTTGAGTCGACTCAAGAGTGGAAGGAGAAGACATTTGAGTCGACTCAAGAGTGGAAGGAGAAGACATTTGAGTCGACTCAAGAGTGGAAGGAGAAGACATTTGAGTCGACTCAAGAGTGGAAGGAGAAGACATTTGAGTCGACTCAAGAGTGGAAGGAGAAGACATTTGAGTCGACTCAAGAGTGGAAGGAGAAGACATTTGAGTCGACTCAAGAGTGGAAGGAGAAGACATTTGAGTCGACTCAAGAGTGGAAGGAGAAGACATTTGAGTCGACTCAAGAGTGGAAGGAGAAGACATTTGAGTCGATTCAAGAGTGGAAGGAGAAGACATTTGAGTCGACTCAAGAGTGGAAGGAGAAGACATTTGAGTCGACTCAAGAGTGGAAGGAGAAGACATTTGAGTCGACTCAAGAGTGGAAGGAGAAGACATTTGAGTCGACTCAAGAGTGGAAGGAGAAGACAGAGCAAGGATCAAAATTACGGCTACCGTATTATACGGTCCGTATAATACGGTCGTTTTTTACGGCAAGAAATTCAAAAATACGCCGTATTTTTGATAGACTGTTTTTCTGGTGTTTTTTTTTTTTTTTTTTTTTTTTTTTTTTTTTTCCCCGTACCAATGCTCTGAAAGGTACACACTACATTAGCATAGCATAACAACAGAACAGATGGTTTCAACACTACTCGACCATTCCCACTACTACCGTACCGTCCACTACTCTTTACTTTACACCTCCTACCCTATCCTATCCTTCTCTATCTCTCTCTCCTCCTCCAACTTGTAACCTTCTCTCTTCTCTACTCATCCTCCTCCTCCTCCTCCTCCTCCTCCTCCTCATCCTCATCCGCCTCCTCCTCTTCCTCCCCACTAGACCCGTCACTAATGTCCCAAGGATCCGCGCCATTTCGAGCCTTGGTGGGCACGTCCTCCTCCTCCCCTCCACTGCTATCCGCCGCCTCCTCCTCCTCACCCTCTTCCTCTCGCACGGATGTTGCCTTCCTCTTTCCCTTGGTAGGCTTCTTGGCCTTCCCGTTTCTCTTCCTTTTAGCGGTCTTTGGCCCCTTCTTCTTCCGCTTCCCAATGTTCCCGAATAGGTCCCAATCAATGGTGCATAGCTGCTCATTCCCCTCTCCCTCCTCCTCGTCGTCCCCCACTTCCTCTTCCTCTGCTGCTGCCGGTTCCACGGCACTCCCTTGCTGGAGGGTGCCGTTGGCCAGATCGGCATAAAGCTTCTCCCTCTGCCGTGATTTCCTATCGAAAGCATCCCTGGCCCTCCTGGCGAACGCCACCTCAGTCACATCCATCATCTTGTTGGCACTGAGGCGGTTACGGTCCCGCCTCTGCACCCGTGCAATGGCGGACCAGTAGCGTTCGACCTCAGAAGACGTGACTGGCTGTGACAGCACCGTCACAGCCATCCCCATGAGCGCTCGCAATTCCCCCCCATACATCAGCCACCACTCTGCCTCCGTCAAGCGCCCACTCGCCACCAACACCGTTGCTGCCCAACGGGCATCATCGGACCCTATCAGCCCCTCTCCTTTATGAAACTGCGTCAACTGCGCCAACAGCAGCGCGCGTTGTGCGACGTCTCCCCCACGGGCCTGGATCACCGCTTCCGCCCCAAGCCTTACCTCGGGATCGTTCTTCACCTCTTTGCCGTACTGATTGCGCGGGTTCAGAAGCCACCCCATAGCATGGAGTGGATTGTGGAGCTGGGAGTCCCACCTCCTTGCTATGATAGCCTTGATGGCGGCCAGAAAGGCCGGCTTGTCTTTGGCCGGCAAGAGAGCGGTGCGTTTCAGCATCATTTTGGCTGCCCATGGGGAGAACCGGAGAGCACGAGGTGAGCACAATTGGCGGGAAGGGTATACAATAGCCAGAACGTGCGGCAATTCACAGCTTACCTGCCGCCTCTGCCGCATTGTTTGTCTTCACCGTGGCATCTAGCATGAGGCCATAGATCTGGCCCATGACTAGAGCACGGGTGTCAACCACCCGCAGCACTTCATACACGGGTGTCATGAGGCGGAGGACCGCTGTCGCGCACTCCCAAAAGACCTCATCCAAGAGGAGCTGGCGGACAGCTCGCCCCTCCTCAGACCGCGCCACCGCCACCGACTCCCACTCCTCACTGATGATCATCTCCTTGAGCGCTTTCTTTACTTCCAGGAAGCGGGCAAGCATGATAACTTGCGTGCCGAAGCGTGTTGCACCGGGCCGCACCAAGGACAAAGTGCTAAACAACTCGTGGAAGAGCGTGACGGCAGACGCGCTTCCCTTGACGATCATAACCACCCTGTGCACCTGGTTGAGCACTCGCCGCACAGCACGGACCCTCCCGATGTCGTGGAGCATCAGGTCCAGGACGTGCGCCGCACAGTTGTTGAAAAACACTGCAGGAAAACCGTCCCGGAGGATGTCGGCCGCCCTACGGTTGTTGGACGCATTGTCCATGACCACCTGCACCACCTTCTTGTCTCCAACCTCGGCGATTGAGGTCCGGATGAGGCCGGCCAAGTACTCCCCCGTCGTCTTCGCGGTCTTGGAGTCCACGGTCTTCACGATGACAGGCGCCGTGTCATTGTGGGCTATGACACACACGAGCCCACGGCTCTTCATGCAGGTCCAGCCGTCCACGGAGATGGTGCAGCCGCTAGTGTTCCAACTCTCCTTCAGGGGCCTTACAAGGTCCTCGGTATCCGCTACCAGTTTTTGAAGCAAAACACCAGAAACCCTGAAGGGGGATGGGAGGGTGTATTGTTTCCCGAAGGCAACAGCCGCATCCACGAAGTTCTGCACGGCTGGCGACTTGGACGTGTGGAACGCCCAATCGTTATCAGCCACTGCAGCGGCCCATAGGTAGTCCAGTCGAGCGCGTGCAGAGTCATCCACCATGTCGCGGATGTCCCGCTGTCGAGTGCGGCGAGAGGGCTGGATGTCTAGGGTTGAAGTGGAGCCAAGGGTTGACGGAGTGGTGCTTCCAGAAAGCTCATTAGTAGCTGCTTCCTCGCGAAGTTTGATGGCGACTTCGTGGGTGCACGGCGTCACATTCTTATCTTTGTCCTTCGGCGTCCCATAGATGTGCTCTCCTATGCGTGTAGCATTAGCAGTCACGGATTCGGAGCAATGTACGCATTTCGCCGTTAAGGTGCCGTCTGGTCCCTTAGTCGTTGTAACGTGCTTCCACAGCGGCGATTTCTGCCTCGCCATGGCGTACGTCCTGACAGGCACGAACCCTAGTGGAGCACCCTGAAGACTAAACTAGAGCAGAACTATGCTCAGAATATGATTAGGAGTGGCTAAACCGAGCTCCTAAGTACCTCGTTGTGGAAGGTGGGTGTGTTGTGTCGAGTGGGTTTTTGAAAAGGTTGAGTTCACGGGATGTATTCTGATTGGTTAGATTGGTTTCGCATCGCGACTTTTGGATGTGTCGCGACTGCGAGCGAACCAAACCTTCGCCGTGCGAAAATGTTTAACGAAAATCACGAAACGTGGGGTCGAATGGGTACCGTTCGCCACATGTTAGAATGTCGCGCCTCGGGAAATTGTACACGTTCCGCTTTGGCGACTCATGCCAACGAGTTGGCGAAACACGTAAACTCGAAATTGGCCTCGCCAAATGCCCAAATGTCGCGACGCGAAAGAGTCGTGACATTTGCGACGCAGGGAAAAAACACATTCGTGTGTACGGTTGTGAGAAAATCACGGTTGGGAGAAATGTGCGTGTGACACTATGATTCCTGATATACACAGACCCGGTTTCAATTTTTCGGTCGAATTATACGGTCGTATTTTTGAACCAAACACAAAAAACCTCAATCCACCGTATTAAACCGTATTTTACGGTCGTATTATACGATTCCGTATTATACGGTGAAAATTCAATAATACGGTCGTAATTTTGAACCTTGAGACAGAGGCTACAGATCGATTTCAAATCCAATCAATTACTCTTAGCAGGCTTGCTGCGTTTCGAATCCAATCAATTTCAACTGCGAAGGAGAAGACAGAGGCTTACAATGACCCTGTACTGTAGATCACATAGCACAAGATTAGGAGCCCAAGGTCGTAAATGACGTGTGAGCATGTGTTTGAGTCGACTCAAAAGTCACCTTGTTTTGAGTCGACTCAAAAGTCACCTTGTTTTGAGTCGACTCAAAAGTCACCTTGTTTTGAGTCGACTCAAAAGTCACCTTGTTTTGAGTCGACTCAAAAGTCACCTTGTTTTGAGTCGACTCAAAAGTCACCTTGTTTTGAGTCGACTCAAAAGTCACCTTGTTTTGAGTCGACTCAAAAGTCACCTTGTTTTGAGCCGACTCAAAAGTCACCTTGTTTTGAGTCGACTCAAAAGTCACCTTGTTTTGAGTCGACTCAAAAGTCACCTTGTTTTGAGTCGACTCAAAAGTCACCTTGTTTTGAGTCGACTCAAAAGTCACCTTGTTTTGAGTCGACTCAAAAGTCACCTTGTTTTGAGTCGACTCAAAAGTCACCTTGTTTTGAGTCGACTCAAAAGTCACCTTGTTTTGAGTCGACTCAAAAGTCACCTTGTTTTGAGTCGACTCAAAAGTCACCTTGTTTTGAGTCGACTCAAAAGTCACCTTGTTTTGAGTCGACTCAAGAGGAGGATCCAAAGGCTACGAATCACATATGAGGAAGGTGAAAAGTATGGACCCGTGCACTCTATCCTCTAAGGGAGAAGACGGGCCCATAACATTGTACATATCGACCAACTTTGATGGGTGTAGATGGAGTGGAATGGTGGAGGGGTAGGTTTTGGAAGGAACGTGGGTTTTCATACAGGTGCATACAGCCCCCTTAAAGCCAGGGTCTCAAGTAAGCAAAGCAGCCGTCCACTGCAAAGCAGTTCGAGCTAGGTTACCTAGTTAGTGCAGGCAAATTTCTCTTTGGTTGGGTTAGAAACCTACCACCGTCAGTGCCTCAAAAGCAATTGCACAACAAGGATTGAGTACGTGAGATTTTCGACGATTCTGGGGCATTTTAGGTTTGGATCCGAACCATATTTACAAACTTAGAAGGTTCGACTACACCTAGCGATTTGGATTCGTTTCGTACTTCTCGCTTCACCCCTCTTCAAACTTCACAACTCGCCAACCAATCACAAACAAACTTGCACAGTCAACTGCAAAACACTTGTAGTACGTGAAACCCTGGCTTTTAACTCACAGCCCTACCCTAAACCCTAACCCCCAGGTGCATGCAGCCCTTAACTCACCAGGTGCATACACTCTTAACTCACCAGGTGCATACACTCTTAACTCACCAGGTGCATACAGCTCCTCTAGAACCTTCTGTGCGATGGAAGTCACGTCAACAGTTGTAGCAAGCGTGCCATACACTGTCGATACAGCTGCTGTGCTTGCATTGGTCGGAGAGACAGTGCGCCGAAGAGGAAAACCCAAGCCTGCAGTGCCAGAGGCGACAATGTGAGGGTTAAACAATATGAGGGTTAAACAGTGTGAGGGCACAACGATAAGGCACTGCAGTGCACTGAATCTTCAAGTGCCGTGCCCTTAACCTGTCCTGCCCCGTTTGCTTTTACCTGGCCGAACAAGCGTTTTATGAATCCGCCCAGACCAACCGGAGGTGAGGAATTCAAATCGCAAGTGCGTCGTATGCCACTTAGCTCTCGGCACTGACCATTAGGAACAACAACCCACTCACCCGACCTGTCTTATCTTCGATTCAAAAGGAAAAAAAAAAAAAAAAAAAAAAAAAACTCAAAATGGGACTCACCGAATCCCGCATGGTCGGTAGGAGTACTCATGGGATACGGCCAGGTGTAGAGCGATTTTCCCGCCACAGCAAGTGGAATCTCCGTGGAAAAGCGCTTCATTAGATCAATGTGCCATGAGCCATTCGATACCACGACTGTGGAGAAATCGAGGATCTTGGGGCAGTAGATGGGGCGGTGGGCACTGACGTTCTTGTTGTTATCTTTTATGGTACCGTGTTGTCGCTCAAATGAAGCCCTGAAGCAGTGATGTTTGTGGGGTGAATCGGGGGGAACAAGGAAAGAGGAGACCGGAAAGAGGGAGGAAACTCGCTTCATGAGGTTGATGTGCCATGAGGATCATGGGAGAAATTGATACCACGACTGTGGAGAAGTAGAGGATCATGGGGCAGTAGATGGGGCGGTGGGCGCTGACGCTCTTGTTGCTGTCCTTTCCCGTGTTGTCGCTCGAAAGTGGTCCTGTAGCAATGTGTGTGTGGAGAATTAGGAGGAAAGAGGAAAGAGGTGAATGGGTCACCAGGTATCACAACACTCGAGCATTTGGGTTGACTCATCGTCATCCTGCCATGTTAAGACAGGGTTTACCACATCACAACACTCATCCTCACTCTAAACATACATGCGCACTTCCCCTCTTTCCTCTTTCCCTCATTCTACCCCCATCTCTCCTCGTTCATAAGAAACACACGTGAGAGAGCTTCTGCGTCTCCCCCCCCCACCTCCAGCCCTGCAACCCCTTCCCTCCCCTGCAACCCCCTCCCTCTCTCACCTCTCCTCGTCCCTGACAAAGACACAAGTAGTCGCCGCTGTGTTGCTCAGGAAATGCATGTTGAACTGCATTCTGCCCCTCCACCCCCTCCATCTCTCACCTCTCCTCATCCGTGACAAAGACGCATGAAGACGCCCCCGTGTTTTGAGGCGCCTCAAGAGTTGCTTTGACCTCGCAACTATCTCACCTCTCCTCATCCGTGACAAAGACGCATGAAGACGCCCCCGTGTTTTGAGGCGCCTCAAGAGTTGCTTTGACCTCGCAACTATCTCACCTCTCCTCATCCGTGACAAAGACGCATGAAGACGCCCCCGTGTTTTGAGGCGCCTCAAGAGTTGCTTTGACCTCGCAACTATCTCACCTCTCCTCATCCGTGACAAAGACGCACGAAGACGCCCCCGTGTTCCCGGGGCGAGCATAGGCGGTGCGCGTGAGGTATGCTTCCCACGAGCTGCCGTTCAAACACACACCCTCTTCCTCCCACCGCATTCCCCCCTCCCCTCCCTCTCTCACCTCTCCTCATCCGTGACAAAGACGCATGAAGACGCCCCCGTGTTCCCGGGGCGAGCATAGGCGGTGCGCGTGAGGTATGCTTCCCACGAGCTGCCGTTCAAACACACACCCTCTTCCCAGGGTGCAAAATGTCACCGAATTTTTCATATTTTGGGCGAAAATTTCGCTATCGAAATTTTCGGCCGAAAATTTCCATAATTTCGGTCCCCCTTCCAAAAAAATATTTGGTGGAAAATTTCGTCCGAAATTTTCAGGAAAAAAATGAGAAAATCGGATAAAATTTCATGGGTGGACATTCTAATGGCATTTTGCCACCAGATCTAGGCGGATGTGGCATTTTGCCATCAGATCTAGGGCGGATTTGGCATTTCGCCATCAGATCTAGGGCGGATTTGGCATTTCGCCATCAAATCTAGGGCGGATTTGGCATTTCGCCATCAGATCTAGGGCGGATCTGGCATTTCGCCATCAGATCTAGGGCGGATCTGGCATTTCGCCATCAGATCTAGGGCGGATCTGGCATTTCGCCATCAAATCTAGGGCGGATCCGTCTTTTTTTTTTTTTTAGGTCCATTAAAATTTCGCCGAAATATTACAAAAACGGCCGAAAATTTCGATCGAAAATTTCGGCTCGAAAATTTCGCTCAGCGCAATTTTCCACCTTGCCTCTTCCTCCCACCGCATTCCCCCCTCCCCTCCCTCTCTCACCTCTCCTCATCCGTGACAAAGACGCATGAAGACGCCCCCGTGTTCCCGGGGCGAGCATAGGCGGTGCGCGTGAGGTATGCTTCCCACGAGCTGCCGTTCAAACACACACCCTCTTCCTCCCACCGCATTCCCCCCTCCCCTCCCTCTCTCACCTCTCCTCATCCGTGACAAAGACGCATGAAGACGCCCCCGTGTTCCCGGGGCGAGCATAGGCGGTGCGCATGAGGTATGCTTCCCACGAGCTGCCGTTCAAACACACACCCTCTTCCTCCCACCGCATTCCCCCCTCCCCTCCCTCTCTCACCTCTCCTCATCCGTGACAAAGACGCATGAAGACGCCCCCGTGTTCCCGGGGCGAGCATAGGCGGTGCGCGTGAGGTATGCTTCCCACGAGCTGCCGTTCAAACACCTGTCCAGCTCCCACTTGCCTCTCTGCCCCAGCCTGCCCATCACTGAGATGATGCCTGTGAGTGTCTGTGCTGGGATGGGAGGATACAGGGCAGGGCACCGCGGCAACGATGACGGCGACGACAACAAGAAGAGCACCAAGAAGACAACAAACAGGATGAGAACCAGGACGAGAATAATAAGAACGACAAGGACAAGGACAGTAACAGGCACAGGAACAGGAACAGCAAGAGAAACAGAACAGAAACAGGAATAGGAACAAGAACAGCGAGAACAGCAAACAACGACGCTGATGACGACGCACGACGACCCGACAGCAACAGCAGCAGCAGCAGCAGCAGCAGCAGCAGCAGCAGCAGCAGCAGCAGCAGCAGCAGCAGCAGCAGCAGCAGCAGCAGCAGCAGCAGCAGCAGCAGCAGCAGCAGTAACAACAACAGGAAATACAACAATATTGCAGAAGTGGTTAGGACACTGACGATGAAAATGAAGTGCTCCATTAAACACCCCTGACACCAATCCAACCTTCGTACCTCTGACACTAATCCAGTCTTACCTGCGTCTGCCTGACAACATGAGTGGGCACGAGCTGCTGCAGAATGAGGGCATGAGGGCAGGAGAGCAGAGAGCAGAGAGCAGAGAGCAGAGAGCAAAGAGCAGAGAGCAGAGAGCAGAGAGCAAAGAGCAGAGAGCAGCACCCATGCAGCAGGAGGTAAGGTAAAGCAGACACCACTCCAGCCTTACATGGATTGGACACCACTCCAGCCTTACATGGATTGGACACCACTCCGGCCTTACCTGCATGTGCCCCACATGGGTGAGCACGAGCTGCTGCAGCATGAAGGCATGACAGCACGACGGCGCGAGGGCAGCACCCATGCTGCAGGAGGCAAGGACGCTAACACCAATTCAACAGCCTTACCTGCATCTGCCCCACATGGGTGAGCACGAGCTGCTGCAGCATGAGGGCGCGCTCCTTGCACCACACGCCCAGCGCCTCCTCCCTGTGATCCTCATACTGCGAGTGCTTCCAGTAGAGCAGCCATGCTGCCACGGCCAGCCCACACAGCACCCATGCTGCCACGAGCACTGTGAACCAAGGGGCTGGGAGGGGGTTGAGACAGAGGAGAGAGAGGAGAGGGGGTAAGCTAGGAGGGTAGTCCTCGTACTGCGAGTGCTTCCAGTAGAGCACCCATGCTGCCACGCCCAGACCACACAGCACCCACGCCGCCACCAGCACTGTGAACCAGGGCGCTGGGCGGGGTGAGTGGGGCGAGATCTACTGGGGAAAGCGAGAGCGGGAAGAGCGAGAGAGAAAACTGGTTAAGCTTAGTAGGGCAATCCTCATACTGCGAGTGGTTGGAGTAGAACAGCCATGCTGCCACGCCCAGCCCACACAGCACCCACGCCGCTACCAGCATCGTGAACCAGGGCGCTGGTTGAGCGAGGGGCAAGAGAGGGGAGCGCGAGGCGGGAGAGAAGGGAATGAGAAGGGAATGAGAAGGGGATGAGAAGGGGATGAGAAGGGAATGCGAAGGGAATGTGAAGGGAATGAGAATGGAAGGGAATGAGAAGGGAATGAGAAGGAAATGAGAAGGATGAGAAGGGAATGAGAAGGGAATGAGAAGGAAATGAGAAGGGAATGAGAAGGGAATGAGAAGGGAATGAGAAGGGGATGATAAGGGAATGAGAAGGGGATGAGAAGGGGATGAGAAGGGGATGAGAAGGGAATGAGAATGAATGAGAAAGGAATGAGAAGGGAATGAGAAGGGAATGAGAAGGGGATGAGAAGAGAATGAGAAGGGGATGAGCAGGGGATGAGAAGGGAATAAAAAGGGAATGAAAACGGGATGAGAAGGGAATGAAAAGGGGATGAGAAGGGAATGAGCAGGGAATGAGAAGGGAATGAAAAAGAGATGAGAAGGGAATGAGAAGGGGATGAGAAGGGAATGAGAAGGGATGAGAAGGGAATGAGGGAATGAGAGGGAGAGCCGATCAGAAAGACAGCGGCACCAACAACACACATCCAGGGCCTTCATGCCAGATTAGCTTATAAAACTTCGTGCCCTTCTTCTCCTTCTTCGGCTTTCCATGGCCTCGCCACTCAAACTGTTCGATTCTTTACGAAATTGACACGTGGGGAGCACCCCGCGAGATGATAGCCCGGCGAGATGAGGTCCCGGCGAGAGCCACGGGGGTTTGTTCTTAAACATTCTTCGAAACTGATCTTGCCGCTCGCACCGAGAGCGCCGCGCTCTGCCGCCTTAGCGCCTCGATGTTTGTCAACCATCTGTCGTCCCTTCGCGCTTGGGTATACTAAAGCACGGGAACCACCCATTCGTTTCAGTCACTCTCACCCTGGAATAGCACTCCTGCAGAGAAAATTAGTGGACCTCCCGATGCAGTATCATCCCGTTTCTCTCTCTCATCCTTGACGGCAGTCGCGTCGCCTCTACTAGCTCCGTCCCCCATGACGGTCGTTTTTTTCCAGCAGACTCTCTCGTAGGCGTTTCTTTTGCCGATTCTACTAGAAGGCGGCTCGTGATGCTGCAGCTCGCCGGGGTTCTAGCACTGCTAGTACCGGCGACGTTGTGACAGCAGTGAGCCGAGCCAAGACTTTTCTCTAATGAATGTCACGATCAAATTAGATCAGGGGTAACGTGATCCGATTCTAAAAACGTGTGACACATATGTAATGCTACAATGGTGTACAAACTACTGCTAATCCAAAATAACCGTCTTGTTCACCGAGAGCACTTAGAAGTCTAGGAGTAATGTGGAACAAGGAAGACATGTTTTAATAACACAGTTCAGGCCGTGCTGGTAACCCTGCCAGTGGAAGCCACTTCGTTTTGGCTTTGGAGAGTTGCACACAATCAAGAAAAGGCCTCGGGATGACCTGGTGCACCGGGAAGCTTCCACCATTGAAAGGCGATTTGTACCACGAATCACCACGGCTTTGGTGCACGGACTCCCACGCGCCGGCACGCACTAGCACGCCCCCACAACCGTGATTCTTGGTGCAACGTGTTTCAGAGAGGAGAAAGCTTCGAAACCTGGTGAACTGGGGGCGTGCCGAGGCGTTGAGCACCATAGCGGGTAGGTTGTAAGGGCGTGCGTGGTATATTCAAGGTACAGATATTACGTCAAACGTTGGATGTTTACCGGTTTCGTTAATATCGTGAACAAGGACTTGTGATGGAATCCAATATCTGTACACACAACAATTTCGAGTTAGAAATATGAACTTGACTCGACACAGAACGTGAACGTGCGTGCACACGTTGAATCGAATATTCGTTCTTTTGAGTATGTACGAAGAATGGGCGAACTCAGCGAGAAAACTGACAACCGGAAACACAAATAAAAAGTAACGACCATACCGGGTAACCTACAATCCCTGCGGGCGGCCCGGAGCCATCCCTTTAAGCTCGAAAAACCAAATTCGAACTGGTTGTGTGACTCACTCATTGGAAAATCACATGCGATTTTCGCTAATCACGAAGGTCGCCTACAACTCTAATGCTACATTCAAATAAAATATGTAAACTTTTACCATTTTCAAATATCATGCACGCTCTTATGAAATCGACCTTTATATATAAATTGTTGGGCTGAGAAAGCCCTTAGGATCGTTTCAAAGCTGAGACTCGGGGTAATTATGTAATTGCAGAAGCGTTGTAGTGAACTGCTTGAACAACCTTGCACCAATGTGTGAGAGCAAGATGAATCGATAATGGCAAGGAGATACAAGCTTTATATGATTAAAAGGAATACGGAATGTTTTAACTAACTGTAACTGCTTAACGACTTCGGCGAGTCAAGGATCGCTGACCTTTGACCTTCGCTCAGCCTCCTGCTGCTACCGTATCGCCCCGGATATAGGCGCCGTCCGATTATAGGCGCTGGCGCCTCTATCTGGAGCATGGCGCTTATGGCCGGACCTCGATTAGAAGCGCCCCCCCTGAGATTTGTGTACTTATTATAAGCGCCTCCATTCGACTACTTAGCTGGTTTTACATTGAAATCACCTTCATAACAATATCATGACAGCAGCTACAACATCAGAGATCTGAAACAGCAGGTCTAGCAACACTAATTCTAGCTAAAAAGTCTAGTCTTCGTCAGATTCGGGCTCCTGGCAGTTGTTGCCAAAAAACCCATCAGCGATGATGTCATCGTCGACGTCCACTTCCGCCGTCAGCTGGCTCCGCCTGTGCGCCATGGCGAGGCCGTCCTCACTGCCGTTGAGCGCGTTGCTGATGCCACAGGTGAGGAAGGCACGCTTTATCAGCTCGGCATGCACTGACTTCCAGGCCTGAGATATCCACCTCAGGACGACCTCCGGAGGAGGCTTCTTCAAGTTCCCTGAAAATAACGGGAGAACGATGGAATCCCGTTAATCCAACAATACATACGGTAAGCAAAAGGAAGGGGGGTTGAAACACAACAACGCACTCATTCCATACCTGCTGTCGTCAGCTGCTCTTGCCCTTCTGCCTCAAACCACCGCTGGTACTGCTGGCGGACCGACGCTTTGAAGCTCTTGTTGATGGAGACATCCAGGGGCTGAACCTCCGCCGTACAGCCCGACGGGATGATTGCCGGCACGCAGTTCATCTCGCGAAGCTTGTCCTTCACTTCCTGGGTGAGGTGACCGCGGTAAGAGTCGAGCACCAGCATCGAGCTCTTGCCGCATCTACCGAACCTGGGCTTCAAGAAGGGCTTGACGCCCTCCTCAAGCCAGCGGACGACACCCGCGGAGTCCATCCACCCGTTCTCGTGTGCAGCCACGACCACATCTGCAGGAAACAAGAGAAGCAGTTAGAATTCGCAGTCTGAACAAACCGCAGTTAACGAGCAGTGCACCAATTGACGTACCGGGTGGGAAATTGCCCTTTGGCACGGTCTTGCGCTTGAAGTACACCCACGGCTTCAGCTTCCGTCCGTCCGCCGTACACGCCAACATCACCGTCACACGCTGCTTCTGATACCCCGCGCTCCTGATAGGCACCGAGCGAACACCCGATTCATCCACGGTGGTGGTGGCGGGCATCTCCAGCCAGAGCGGCGTCTGGTCCGCGTTGATGATCCACGCGGTGTCGATGCCGCGCTCACGACGCATGCCACGCACGAACTTCCAGAAGCTTCTGCACTGCTCCGCGACATCTGAAGGGAGGTGGAAGGCAGGACGGTCACAGATGGCGGGTGTTAGTGTGAAAACAAAGAACGAGGGAGTGACTATGAAGTGAAGTGAATACAAATAGGAAACCCTAATGTGTTGTACCCCCTATGGGATACCCCACTATAGCCTACACAAACAAGTAAGCTATATGTTCTGACACACCCCCATAGGCAAAGTGGGGGAGAACAAGGGGTCACAAGACCAGTCAAGCAAAGCAAAGCAAAGCTCAGGGTGGATCACAAAGTCACCACACATTCCGAGCACAAGTTCAAAGGCCACAAGGCCAGTTCACATGCAAGATCATATATAGAGATATACAAGAGCAAGAGTATATATATGCGAAGGTACAAGCAAGGTCAAGAGGAGAGCAAGTGAGGCAAGACAGGCACAAGACCCAACTGCGTGCAGCAACGCTGATGATCACAAGGCGCAAGTGCCTTGGTGAAGACATCAGCAGTGTTGGCCTCAGAGGCCACGTACGCAAGTCGCAGCTGTCCACGCTGCTGTAGCTCACGAGCAAGAAAGTAGCGAAGAGCAATGTGCTTCGTTCTGTGCTCCAGTCGCTGCTCTCGACACAAGGCCAGCATGGCCTTGTTGTCTACGTACAGGACTGGAGGAGAACAAGGCTGCTCTCCAAGGTCGGTCAGCAGGTAGGTGAGCCAGCGTAACTCCTGTGCAGCCATAGCCCCAGCGTAGATCTCAGCCTCACAACTGGAGCCGAGAACAGAAGACGAGCGGGTAGCCCGCCACGAGACAGAGCCGGAACCAAGGCTGAAGGTGTAACCCTGTGACGACCGCTGCGTAGCCTGGTCGTCAGCCCAAGAAGCGTCTGCGTGCCCAGTGAGGACCACTGGACTGCGCCCTCCAAGCACTAGCCCCATGCCCGACGTACTGCACAAGTAGCGCAACACCCTCTTCGCTGCAGCCATGTGCTCTGGTCGGTGTCTCCCAGGAGCAACAAAGCGTGCGAGAATGCTAAGAGGGTATGCGAGGTCAGGTCGTGTGCAGGTCATCAGGTACATGAGGCAGCCAACAAGCTCTGGGTACGGGCCACTCGACTCTACGGACTCATCCGAAGGCAGAGCTGAGAGCGAGTGGCGAGTAGGCAGAGGAGTGGCCTTAGGCGAGGAGTACGTGAAGCCGAAGCGCTGAAGGACCTGCTGCACCATGTGTGACTGAGTCAGGGTAATGGTGCGGCGTGCTCTGTCCCGGGTGATCTGCAAGCCAAGGTAGCTGCGCAGTTCACCCAGGTCAGTGCACGTGTGTCTCTTCTGCAGCTCGGACTTCACGTAGGCGAGTCCAGCAGTGTCAGCTGTGGCAAAGACCAAGTCGTCGACGTACACGAGGATGTAGAACGGCGGCAGAGAGGTGTCGGTGCGCAGAAACAGCGACGGGTCGGCAGTGGAAGGAGCAAACCCAAGTGCCGCGAGCGTAGTCCTCAGTGTGTCGTGCCACTCACGTGGCGCTTGGCGGAGACCGTAGACTGGACGCCGGAGACTCCACAGGGTACCAGGAGGGAAAGACCCAGTGAAGCCAGGTGGGCGGCGCAGCCAGATCTCCTCGTGCAGGCTGCCCTGCAAGAAAGCTGTGCTGAAGTCGAGAGAGTGGAGCTCGTAGTCACGGTGAGCAGCAACGTGCAGCAGAACCCGAAGAGTGGTCATCTTCGGGGTGGGGGAGAAGGTCTGAAAGTAGTCAACCCCCTGCCGCTGACTGAAGCCACGAGCCACGTAACGCGCCTTGAAGACAGGCGGAGAACCCGGCGGCCGCTTCACCCTGAAAATCCACATGCCACTGACGATGTTCGCCCCAGGAGGGGGAACAGCGTCAACGTAGGTGCCTGTGGACTTCCAGGAA